GGTAAATTTTAAAAATATGTGCAGTATATTGTATATATGCATTTACATGCAGTTTATTTTATATGTGCAAATTGTAACAATTCGACCTAGTAAAACTGAAAAATGAAAAAAATTCAATTTGTAATAAAATCCTGATGTGCTACAGTTTCTCCTCAAAGAACTGTTTTAGAAAAGTTACTCATTCATGTCTTTGAGTTTCTGCTATGTGTTGGGCCCTATCTTGGTGGGAGGAATAGAGTAGTGAGCAAAACCAGACAAAGCCATGGCCCCTTTTTGCCTTTGGTATGCCTCTTAAAACACACAGACACTTGTCCAGGAGGACAGTTCTTATGGATGAGTCCTAGTAATCTGCAGAAGTGGGAAGGAGGCCTTAGTTTAACAAAGCTAGTGGTAGATAATAGAGAATTAACTGTGTTTTACATGTGAGCTCACATTTGGAAATGCTACGCATTGCTCAGAACCTGGGATTACGCTTTGTGAGATGTTAACATCAACAAAATTCTGTCCCACCAAACGATTTATAATACTGATTCTCAGTCTTAAAAATTTTATTTGTATATTTAAATAGTAGAGAAGAGTGATTTGGTCATTTATCATGTTGATGGTTTGATCTTTTCTTCTTCCACCTCTGGATGGAAGCATGTTAGCTCTTGATCCAAAGGAAGATCCAAACCATGCCTTTTTTAGCCTAGGTTTCCTAGGTATGAAAGTTAAGGCTGTTCTGCGTTTTCATGTGCTAGATGTCTTGAATCTGAGTTCAAGGAGATGATGTAAAAATAAAAGGGAAAAAGAGAGTGCAGTAAATTCTTTCCATTAGTTCTAAAGAAAGAGTCTTAACTTTAGTTGGCATTTAATAAATTCATTCAACTGAAATCTTTCTCAGCTAATTGTTCAAATATAAATGTTGGAAATTCCCCCAGACAGCCATGACAGCTTTATATTAAGGTATATATTGACTTGGAAGCATATCTAATTTGAGAAACAAACACACTTACAGTATGTACTGGTATACTGTATTTCCATAACATAACTTACATAAAAAGTTTGTCATCCTGAAGTATTTGATACTGGTTGCTTCTACTATGAAGCATAATAATAACAGTTAATGTTTATGAAGTGTTTACTGAATTCCTAGTACTGTATTAATCACTGTATTACACATGAGCTGGATTTCTTTTTGAAGTCAGGTTTATTGAGACACAGTTTATATACAGGGCAATTTGCCCTATTTAGTTACACAGTTCTGTGACTTTTGACAACATGTGCAGGTCATGTAACCTCTACCACAGTCACCATACAGGTTATTTCCATCACCCCAAACAGGTCCCATGTTCTTTGTAACCAGCCCCCTCCTCTCATTGTCAGTCCCTTGCAATTACTGATTTGATTTCTGTCCTTTTTGTTTTGTCTTTTGCAGAATGTCATATAAGTGGAATCGCACAGTATATATTTTGAGCTTGGCTTGTTTCACTTATCCAAATGCTTTTAGATTCATCCATGTTGTATCCTCTGTCAGAAGTGCAGAAGTTCATACCTTTTTATTGCTGATAGCATTCCATTGTATGGATATGCCACAATGTGTTTATCGATTCACCAGTTGATGGCCATTTGGGTTTCCCGTATTTGGCGATAGTGAATGAAACTGCTATAAATATTTATGTAGAAGTTTTTTAGAAAAATAGATACATATCTTCATTTCTTTTGGATAAATAACTAGGAATGGGATTGTATAAGTGTATGTTTAACTTTACAAGAAATTGCTGAACTGTTTCTCAAATAGGCTGTACCATTTGCATTCCCACCAACAATGTGTGAGTTGTAGTTGCTCCATATCCTTACCAGCCCTTGGTATTGTTAGTGGTTTTGGTTTTTTGTTTTTAAATTCACTCTAGTGGCGGGTAGTGGTATTGTGACTCTAATTTGCATTTCTCCATTGAGTAATGATGTTGAGATGCTTTCTGTGCTTAATTGCCATCTGTAGCTCTTCTTTGGTGAAGTTACCTGTTCAAATAGTTTGATCTTTTAAAAAACTGGTTTGTTTTCTTGTTTTTGAATTGCAAGAGTTCTTTATATATTCCAAATAGTACATGAAGTGCTGTTAGCTTAAATTACGGATAAAGAAGTTAAGGTACAGGATTGTTCAGTAATTGCCCAGGATTAGATAGGTAATACGTTCCAGAGCTGGGATTTTGAGCCAAGCAGATTGACTCTAGAACCTGTGCTGAACTGTTTGCCTTTTGTGTGTGTGTGTGTGTGATTTTTCAGGCCTGTGACTAGAAACAAGATCCAGTTCCTATAGGTGGTAAAATAATGCTTATAGGGACACCCTTGACCATGGGGGCAATATATTATAATAGCAACTCTGGATCACCTCTTTGGGAACAGTTGTTTGTTTCTGTTGAAGAGGGGTTATTCTTGTCACTTTATGGCTCACTCTTCACTTCTGCATACTGGTGGCCAAAAGTACTTCTTTTAAATTACATTCCAAATATATGCCATTATCAAATAATGAGGTACTTTATATCAATGGATTTTCTCTTTAGCAGAAGCTTATCCTTTTATATATCCATACTTCATAAAAATTTTTACAATTTGATGTTAGTCATTTTGTGTTTTAAAAACCTTTATCATAATAATGCTGACTTCTAGGCACTTACTATATGGTGATATCCTCGGAGAGTATGTAGAATTTACTGACCTTTTAGAGTGACTTGAGATCCCAGTATTTTGAAACTGGTATTTGTAGTGTTAGAGGTTTTTAAAAAATCTCTCACTATCTACGCTGTCTCTTGTTTGTTCTGACATCATCCTTTCACTAGTTCCTCTTTTACCCCTTAGTAACTTCTAATTCTGATTCGCTGAAAGATAATCGGATTATTAGGCTTACGTGGATATTGTCTAAGATAAATACCAGCTCTGGGAAACGATTTGGGGGTTTTCCAGTGACCATCTCCTGTGACTGCTCAAAGGGCTTTTTTTCTTGGTTTGTGGGTTCCAAATAATCATTCTGGATAAATGAGCTCTAAAGCAAGTTAAATATGATATTTGGCAGCAGAAAGAGTGATGTATTTTTAAGCATAATTTTTATTAATAACTTGTTAAATCATGAAGATTATTTTAGTAAAAAGATTGGTCAAGCAGTGTTCAGTAGCATGGAATAAATAGGCACTTAATGGGCAGAAAGTTGGTTCACCATCATTATGTTTTGTAGCAGTTTGTGAAGTTCCTGTCTAAGTCTGACAGCACGTCCTCTCAGCTGTGCCTCTAGTAAGGCAGAGTAATTACTTCCAAGTAATTAACTAAAGGAGGAAAACCTTGCTAAATCCTATTTACTTTTTGTAAAATATTAGGATGAAAGCTAGCTAGTGAGTTATGCTTCTTCATTTAAAGTACTTTTGGAAGTGCTTAATGCTTTCAAGCCATTTTGATCAATTTAAGCTCTTAGAATAAATACTCACCCAGGGGACAGGGTAAGTAGCTATAGTAACTACCATTTCAGCTGCCTGGCACCTTGTCTGATACTCGGTGATTTTGAGAGCAGAACTTTTTGAGAGAGGTTTTGTCAAGCTGGCAATTCTATTCGAAATCATTTTGCTATCTTGGACTTTAATTCTTTTCCAATCTCAAGTTTGCTTTTTTCGTTCTGTAAGCCAGATTAACAATTCACACTTATTTTTCCCCTGAACTTTGAATTTTCTAGTGGATTTTATCTGTTTAATGAACTTATAAATCTGCATCTGGTATTGCAGTTTGCTAGCTTTTCCAGATTACATAGCAATATACCCCTTTTATATAAGGGTTAATGAATAGCCAGGTTAGACTCACCAGGCCATTGTTACATTAAAAGCCAGAAAGTTGGCTGTCTCCCTTCCATTCCCTCCCATTTTTTTCTTTCATAATTTTATTTACTTGCTATATTAAAATAACTTTAAAAATTGAGATTTTATTTTTTAAAACAACATACAGATTTTTCATTTTGCTTCCTTGTAGATTCTGATTCTGTTTTATTGTTAATTTTAAATTATAGTAATTAGCCTGAGCTAAGTAATGGTTTAATCACAGTAGATCTTGCTCCGTGGCTCTACCTCTCTCCTTTTTCTGTACCTCTCCCCCGTTTTTACCTGTGGATTTGCATGTTTGACCTAGCAGAGTAATTGGGTCCACGGCAACATGGGCGTGCCTCCCTTAGAAACACTCAGTTTCATGTATGACTCATAAGCTGAAGCACAGACACCACTTCCCCAATCTACAGGAGCCATTTTAACAGCATAAAACTTGCCGGATTGCTTTTTATTTTCAAGCCCAGAGGACAGCCTCTAAAGAGAACTCGAATATTTGAAGGTAACTCATTAAGATTTTGTGTGTTTGCTTCTGGCTGTTCCCTGAGCTGATAAACGGAGGGTGGTTCTTACCTGTTGAAGAACATGGCTGAATGTGTTCCTTAACTCTGAAAAAAAACGTGTGTAGTCAGTCACATGCCTGATTGCACTTAACTTCTAGGGGAAACAAAGCATTCAAATTCTGGAAAGTTTTAGATTTTCTTGTTAAAGTGTTTTTTTTATTTGTGTGATTCCTTCCCGCCCCCGTATGACTTGAGAATAAAGGAGATTTTTCTTTCTTTCTTTCTTTCTTATACCACAAAGCAAACTAGGACAAATTTTAGTTTTAAAAACAGTTAATTGTATTTGTGAGGGTAGCCTGTAAGTTACAATTAAGTAAACTGTATTATTCATATATGATATGGATGTTAAGAAAGAAATTCAGGAGCAATGGTTTTGTTTTGGTATTTTAGTTAAGGCGAAGTTTTGGGACAGCTCAGTCATAGGTGTTGCTCATTCACTGTTCTGCCCTTTTTTTCTTTCCTTAAAATAAATGAAATTATACTAAACATTTAATTTTGAAAATGAAAGAGAAGTTTAAGTAAAATGAATGGATCATTTAGATAATAAGTAAAGGTGATTATTAAATAAAGAGGAAGAAGGGCTAGAATGATTCATTTACTGTTAGAAAAGAAATTGTATAATTCACACTGGAAACTTGTTCTGGGTAACAACTTCAGAAGCATAACTTGCTTCTGAGGACATATGTAGTATTTTGATTTCTGTAAAAAGAATAAGTAAAGAGTATTGTCCTGTCTGTACAGCTGTTCTTAAAATTCGCTTGTTCTGAGTAAAAAAAAAATAGTATCTTTTGTGAAAGAAAAAATTACTCAGTTTTTTTCCTGAAACCTTTCTCATCATTGAAATTAGGAGATTTTGGCAAGTTCTGGTGCGCCTTGAAATTCTAGGCACTTTAAGAGGCTGGATGCAGTAGTTTATTTATTATTTATGATAAGTTATTTATGAAACTAAAATTTGAGTGAAAGTAAAATTTGAATATGCAGTGATTCCAAATAAAGTTTTTGGAAATAAAATTTGCCAGGTCATTTATTATTAACTGTAATGATATTTAGCTAGTTCTTTGGGAACTTGCTGTTAATAACTTTCTGAGTGCTTGAAGGCCTGTCGGATGAGGGGGAAGATAGAAAAGCAGTCAGTTATTATTTCTTACTCTTTGAAAGGATTGTTCATATGATCAGATATCAGTTTTGTGGTGTTATCAGAAAGACACAGAAATTTTACCAGTTCAGCTCTGAACCATTTGCTGTCACCTTTGTTTTGCATATTGCTGGTTTAGTCAGCTTTTGAGTAAGCAGAGAGGGGCTGTATTTACTTCTGGTCTGTTCTGTGTGAAAAATCAAATGAAACTTTTTTGCCTTTTTTTTTTTTGAGTTTTAAAGGCCAGTGACCCACGGAGAAAAATCAAGGGACACACAAATAAGCAAATAAGATTTTATTGATTAAGGAGAAGTAGAAGAATTTAGTTTCTTAAAATTAAGACACTTAAAATTAAGGCACAATTTAATAGCATAGATACTGGTCATATGTTTCAGTTTCCTATTATGTAGAAAAGACTGAGGTGGGGCTTCAAAGTGGAGGGAGGGGAAAAAAAAAAAGCATGGGAGCAAGGGAAGGCCAGTAAGACTTATTAGGTAGTCTTCTTCCCACTGCTTTCCTTTCATAAGGTTGAATATGAGTTTAAAGTGAGTCATTAGAATTAAGCTTAGAATTATCAATTTGAAGAACTTAGCATTAAAAAAGACTGAAGATCGTCCAGCTGCCTCACTTTTATAGATGAAGAAACAGTGGCCCATAGAGGTCCTGTGACTTACTCAAGGTTGTGCTGTGCTTGATGGCAGGCCTTTCAGCCTGGAGCTGCTCGCACTAGCCCACACACACCAACAAGTGATGCTTTGTTTGAAATGGTCTGTATTTCCTCAGGAGTAAATAAAACCTTAATTAAGTTGCTTGGTGATCATTTTGGTGATAAGGTATGACCAAATGAACTAACTAATGATTTTGAAAATGTGTTCAAACTAGTTCCCTTTTTCATATGACAGAGGAAGGATGAAGCTTTAATTTCTACAACAGCTTTTTTTACTATTAGAATTTTTCATAGTTGAAGCATAGTGACGTTGCTTGTTTAAGATGGGCCTGGGGAGATGGAAATATGAGGACTTGGGAATTTACTTTGAACTTCTAGATACAAAGACAGATTTATTTCTGCTTTAATTTTACTTCATATTCTTTTGGGAGGGAAATACTATTTCATATGATGCCTTGTTCCATTGAAGTGTGTGTAAAACTTCTGCATATGTTTACAATATCTAGAGGTTTCTAAACTCTGACATCGTCACAGTCTTGAATTTAACCTTCCCATAATTAATAATCTGATTCTATTTGTTGTATCTTCTTTTTTGGGAGTTTATTATACATACCAGCCACTTTTAGAATCTTTTGGGGAATACAAAGTCTTTGTCTGTTAATTTTTTGATGTATTTTATTGTGGTGGTTGAAATTTACTTCAGATCTCCCTTTCTTTAGGTCTGAAATTTGAATTTTTTAAATTACTTTGTAAATGACTGTTGACTCCTAAATGTCCAAGTCTCCTAACCTAACTCAGTATCAGATCCTCAACAATGTGGTCATCATTGTCCTAAGCAACAAACGGCGCACAGAGTGCTGGAAAACCTCGGTCCTAGTCTCACAAACTTAGATTCTTCCTGGGAAAACAGGGTGTGGTGACATAGGTAAAATAAGTGAAGAATGGGACCAAACTGTTGAGCTGTTAACTTTTTAACTTTGGGTTCAGACTGTTTACCTAGAGATGAAAGATGACTAAGACTTCAAATAGTCAGGAAGCACTGAAGAATGAATAGCATTTGCATAGGTTAAGAAGAATGTCTTCAAAAAGAGTAAGAATATAAGCTCTTAGAGATCAGAGGTGTTTTATTCTATTTCTCTTTTTCAGCTTTGACAGTATCAAGCACATGTGTATAGGCTGTTATTATTTGATGCATTAAACCTTTGGCCACTCAGTTGGGCACGTCCTGCCCAACTTAGTGCTGGCAAATCTTGAAAGGGCATGTGACCCTCAGCTTAATCTCTGGTGCCCACACACTGTAACCAAAGAGAAAATTAACACCTACCTGGTAGTATACTACCTTTAAGGCAGAAATTTTCAAACCTTTGGTATAACAGAATCACCTGGCTTCGACTTGGAGATTCTGGCTCATTAGGCCTAGGGTTTGGTTTATCAGTCTGCTATTTTAATAAGTGCAGGTGCTGCCACACTTTCTTGGAAAGAGTGAAGAGTGATTAATCAGTTACTCAGTATTTTAATATCTGAATTTTAAAATAACAATAGTATTTTGAAGCCCACAGCCTCAGGTAAGGAAAGTGAATGGAGTGGTTTATTATCAGCGTTAGAACTTAGCTCGTCTCCCTCTCCCAGTTAGCCCTTTCTCTAATCCAGTTTTTGGCTGTGCTGTGTCTTTCAACTTTGTGCCTCTCCCTCTTTCTTTTTCTCTGTTTCTGCTTTCCCCCTTCTCGCTCCCCACTGCCATCTTGACCACAGTGTATAATTAAAGTAATTATTTTTGTTTTTCAGATGTAATTAACCTATTCTTTATCTCTCAGTGAACCATCACTCTCCCAATGTTTCTTTCTCATTTTGTTTTGTTTTAGTTCCCTTTGGTGCTTCATGGTATCTCTCCATTCCCTTTTTCTTGGGGTTCTAGCAAAAATAGTCCCTTCATGATTTAGGGTAGCATTTATAGTCTTTGAAAACCCTTCTCTCCCAGAAAATACACTGTTATTATTTGTCATTGATTGAGTCTGGAGGGAGTAATTTTTTTTTAACTGTGTGATGCTTCAATATGATTTTTGAAATTTCTTTGGACATTTAATTGCATAACTGACTGCATATTTGTAGGCTTTGCCTTACATTAAATCTCATCTAATGGCACATAGATGTTCACAGACTCTTATAGGAATGGAAAGAAGAGTCCCATCGGTTGAATGGTGTGAATATAATTATTGTTTCCATCAGTTGGCCAGAATATTTCCTTTGCTTAGGAGCTACTTCATATAAATGGTAGAAATTAAATTAGTAACATCCTTGAGTCATCTTGAGTGATTGGGGCAGTTTGAACTATCTGAGCAATCTTTTTCCCATTACCCTGGAGGAACTACTAAGGAGAAAGTTATTTGTCACTTCTATCTTTGTGTTTTGTCAAATGGTCTCTATACTAAAGTAAGGAGCTGTTGATCTATATAACAAATGTCTAGGCACCCTACCCCTTTATGAAAAAATAACTCCTGTGCTATTTGCTTTGTTGGTAGTGGGGATAAATTATCCAGCTGAGCTTTGGTTGTACAAATTTGATTCCTTCTTTTACAGTAATAAGTATCTGAATTAACACTGTCCTCATCATCAGAAAACTCTTCCTAAACTTCTCTTTTCACTTTCATTCTCTTCCCCCTATGCGAATTCAGAGCTTTTCTTTCATTTGTCCCTTTAATGCTGAGTAGTAAGGTATCAGCTCTTTTTTATCTCCATATTTTGTAGCCTGAGATTCATTGCTAGTATTAAAAAAAAAAAAACCGGGAACCTATGAATACCTTCTAGAATTTTTATGAAGATTGATTTAATAATTTTGATATTAAAAAGCTATCAAAGTGATAGACTTACCATATGATCCAGCAACCCCACTCTTGGACGTATATCCAAAGGGAACCTTAATTCAAAAAGATACATGCACCTCAATGTTCATAGAAGCACTATTTGTAATAGCCAAGACATGGAAGCAACCTAAATGTCCATCAACAGATGACTGGATAAAGAAGCTGTGGTATATTTAAGCAATGGAATACTACTCAGCCATAAAAAATCAAATAATGTCATTTGCAGCAAATAGATGGACCTGGAGATTATCTTTCTAAATGAAGTAAGCCAGAAAG